GGAAATGTACATACTTAAGCTTATGTCAACATTTTTGAAACGTTTGGAGAATAGGCTCAAAGTGTATTGGATCGTTTGCCAAAGTATTCAATCATTCATTTGGTCACAGACAGAAACTGCAGTGATAAATTTATCAAAAACATTCAGCGATTATGGGGGGATTAAGGGATACTTTTTCACGAATGGACCCCCAACCAAAATACCCCATAGTTTGAAAAGTAATTTAGGCAAGTGTAAAAACAAGAACCAACTTATCGATCTATTCTTGACTGAATGGAACCGAAAGAAATACACCCAATATACTCACTGGGAAAAGTATATTTAAGGCATGGAGATGGGTCTATCCAGTTTACCTCCGCTGACGGTGTGAAAGTTGACTTCATCTTGCAAACTCAATAAAAATCAAACCAATAAGAAGCAAACATTCAAATAATTTTGCTTTTTTCCGAGTCGAACTATCTTGACAACTATTCGTCAATCAGAGTTCACTGCAGGATCTGTCTGTGACCAAATGAATGATTGAATACTTTGGCAAACGATCCAATACACTTTGAGCCTATTCTCCAAACGTTTCAAAAATGTTGACATAAGCTTAAGTATGTACATTTCCATCAATTATGAATAAACTCCCCTCAGTTTCAGTCATTTCCAAAAAATAAAATAGTATCTCTACGTTCCCTGATTTAATTACGTATCCCTTCAAATCTTAAAATTCTCCTACTGCAGCTAGGTTTCCCCGTCCCTCCTATTATTAAGTAAGTAACGTTTATAAATTACCCCTGCCCCACCCTTTTTTAATGTTGGCTGGGGAGGCTAAGATGTCTAACTCCCCCCCCCCTCCTCTCATTAAATTATATTAATGTGAGCGTTACAATGACACGCCCTGAAAGTAGCCTTTTAGAGTATGGAATTTTCGCGTTTATTTAAATTTTTTCGTGATTATTTATTTGGAGGAGGGGGAGGGGGTGGAAGAGGAGGGGGGAGGGTAAACCCCTCCCCCCTCCCCCTCGTTAAATTATGTTAGTGTAAGCGTGTCAATGACAAGCCCTGAAGTCGTCTTATAAAGTGAAATTTTCGCGTTTAATTAACGTTTTTCGTGATTATTTTTGGGGGGGGAGGGGGAGGGAGGAGGATGTATCTCCTTCCCCCCTGTCACCTCCCACAAGAATCCATATTGATGTACTCTCAGAACAAACGCTACTTGTTTTCATTTTGCCGCCCATTTTTGCGCATAACGCTACCTACTTCAAGGAAGCGGCCAATCTTGACGGTTTTTATAGGGTGGGTACTGGTGGGGGGCCCCCCTCCCCCCCACGAGGGGTTAGGCCGCCCTTAGAATGAAAAATTAATGCTCTGTTATTATAAGGGTAAACGACTTTACGATAATACCAACCTTCTTCGCGTTATTGGCGAGAAATCGCGGCGAAACGGTCATTTTCGCGGAATTTTGAGATATTTTGACATTTTAAGCCGCCCCATTTTGGGGGACCGCGGGTCCTGGTCAAAGTCACTTAAAACTTTTCTAGACCAGAATTTTACGAGCTTTCAGAATGGTTATGTGGAGTTTTGCCCTAAAATCAAGCCTTTTCGGGTAAAAGTGGGAAAAGTCGGAATTCTGAGCAATTTTGGGGGGTTTAGGGGGGCCTACTCCCCCCCCATCACGATAAAATTCGCGTAGACAAGGAAAATCTTATTCTACTAGTTGAGAGCTTCAAGAAAATCACCATCTTCAAAATTCCCACGGGGGGGGGGGGGG